AAAACTTTGACATTTCAAACCAAACCAAACTAAGACATTTCATAGAGAGAGATTTAACATCTCTATGGGTTTAAAATAAATTGAGTAAGTAATGTTAAGGAATAAATCGAAGATTTTCTAGTTGTTAAATAGCCTGTGTAAAAAAATCTATTTGTGTAGAAAAGATTTGTATTAGTAAACTGAAAAGGGGCTATGTAAAAAATCAGATTCAGTGTAAAAACAGGTTCAGAATTCATAGCTGTAGCTCCAGTGGCTGGAAATGTAACAGTCTATTTTTTTCACAAATACTAATATTCTCTACACATGCACAATTCTTAACGAATACAACTGTTTGACGTATATGTATATTTTGCCCTTGTTGTTATTATCTTGAAAGTTTCAGTGAAAATAGACAGGAAATGAGGAAGAGAAGGAGAATGACATGCAGTAAATGGAGTATGCATCTGTGTGGAATTATTTGTAGGCATAATTTTACAAGCTCAAAATCTTATTGACCCGAACTTGAGCCTATTATATTTTTCTTCTACAAGTCGATTCAGGTAAAAATGTAGCCGACAAAAGTTTTTCAAATGGGCACTTTCCCACAACTTAAAGTTTCTGTGCGCAAAACAATCCACTCAAAAGCTGTGTGAAAAAAGTGAGGGAAAAAAAACAACAGGATGAAGGAGTCTTCGAAAAAACAAAAAAAGCTGACTGATGGATGCCTTGAGGTTGACACGGGGACGCAGCATCAGGTTGGCTGTGGTCGACTTTGATTCCCTGACTTGCCTTTGAAGGGCCTCACATCAGATGCAAACCTACACCCGTACCTCCATCCATCCATCTCTCCCAACTTTCTTTCCTCTTTGCATTCTAAGTGAACAAATTCTGTTTTCCACTTGAGCCCTTGAGGGACCACGGACTTCACATCTAACCATCTTGAAAGAAACGGAAAAAGGCAAAAAAAAAAAAAAAAATGAAAACATGTCTGACGTTGAGGACACAGAACCTTGAGAAGGCAAGCGTGAGGATGAAAGGACAGGCAGAACCAAGAGCAGGGAGAAACAGAGAGTACAGCCAACCGGCCTCTGACAGACGAAAACAACAGTCATGCATAAAAAGAAGGTACCGAAAGTTGAAAGGTGGTCATCGCTTCAAAGAAACCATGTGCATTGGCTGAAATGAGGTGTAAGATTAGCCTTCTCCAAAATTCAACTCTGTCAACTCTCTGGTCAATTCAATTAGCAGTCACAAAAAATCATCAGCATATTAATTAATGATGCAACCTTAAGTTTCTGTTATTCACTATAAAGTCGATTTAATGAAAATATACATATAAAGTCGCCCCCTCTTTGAGCATAAAAAGATGAGCTTAAAGATCCAGTGGAAATGATTTAGAGTGATATATAAACAGAAACTGATTATGACATTCATAATTATGTTTTCATTAGTGTATAATCACCTGAAWCTAAAAACTTTAGTTCCACAGAAAAACACTTTTGTTTGTTTAAAATCTGATTGAATATAAATACATCTTGTTCTATGGGATAATCCAAGTAGAAAGGTTGGACTTACACATCATCACCTCTATTGACTTAAATCATTTTACAGATTTAAGATAGTACACAACACAAACACAGAGTTAACACAAATAACAAACCAAACTAATATACTCAAACAGCCAAAATCACACCGATATGAGACCAAAGACTTTCATAATGATGGAGACAGAGGATAAAAGAGACAGCTGCAATATTTAAAGCCATTATTGTTAGAAGAAAGATCATGAACTAGGAACATGAAGTACTAGCACAAGTACATACATGTATGAGGAAGTGCATGTAAGTTCAGAGTATGACGTAGAATCCTCTTACCTTGAATGAACACTCCTCCAATCATGACAGGGATGAGTTTGCAGCACTTGAAGATGACCTGGGTGGGGTAGTTTAAGTAGCCCAGGGAAGTATTGGACAGGCCCATGGTTCCCACTGTTAGAAATGCTATCATCATATAGGTCTTCCCTGGTATCCTGAAATATCAGGGAAAATATGAAGTAGTTGAGAAAGTTTTCATGTTTAGCTGTAGCAAAGACAACAGAGGTGCAGCGTTGCTAAGTGGTCGTAATTTTAGCGTTACAGTTGCAAAGATTGGATCAGTTTTATATTACTCTTTGATCATAATAGAATGACTCATTTTAGAATAGCAGAAACCAGAAAACATTATTTGTTTGGACTATGAAATGCACAATGAATCATTTGTTTGTTTGTGGCTGCTAGCACTAGCATTTATAATGAAGGCAGAATCAATCATCTGGTAGTATTAAGTAGGCAGGTTTTGTTAGATTTTGTTTATAATTGATCTTGCAGAAATAATCCACAGTCTGAATATGACCCCTCAAAATGCAGACCTGAAGACTAAATCCTGAGCCGCAGCTGCACCGACAGGAAAAATAACATTACATAGGAGAGACAGTGATCAAGGTGAATAAGTAAAACAACAGGTTATTTTGTGAGCAGTACCTCCTGCGTTTGTCCTGTGTGAGCTGAAGCTCCACTAATCCAAACATGGAGTAGAAGCCGAACTGGATCAGAGTGAGGTACCAACCAAAAGGTTTGAATCCTTCCACAGAAAATATCAGTTCCTGGAGGGAGGGACAAATAAAGAATGTTAAAGCAGGTCATTGTATCCTTCTATCTTTCATCTTGGGAAGGTTTACGCCTTTACGAATAAAGAATTGTGGTGTTAAAACCTAAGACCTAATCTCCACAAGTAAGACAACATACTTGCTTGGCAAATGTATAACTGAATATATGTAAAAGGGTATATGTGTGTTTTGAGTACGTATTCCAACTTTACAACACATTCTTTTGTATCTGTCCACGCAAAAACACACACACAACCTTCACAACAGCAATGTCCCTTCACTTTAACAAGCTTTAACTGATTCATTATCACACGTTTGTTTGTGTGTTTATGTGCATGGACACTTGCTCTATTAGATCTCTCAGTTAGTGTTGTGTTTGGGTTGTTATTTGTTACCTGCAGGTATCCGTAGATGAGGTAAAAGAGGAAAACTCCAGCCACACAAATGAAAAACTGTGTAGGAGTGCTGAAGCTGCTCAGGTTGATTCCCAGAACCCTCAGCTCCTCCACAGACTTTATGTGGGGTGACATCACTTCTGTTGACGACGGGATGGAAATTGAAATGTGCTTCCGTGAGCTGTTGTAGCTCACCAGGCCATATTTGGCACTCATTGTGTTCAAAGCTGCTGGGACCTGTGGGAACATAGAGATAATTTTACAATGCTCATCTAAGACATCATCTTTTCCAGCTTGGATCTCAAGTAGCAACAGGGCAAACAGGCTAAAAGAGCGGCTTTGTCATTCTTGTAGAGTAGCAATGCTGACAGACAGGTTTATGGTGATTATCATAACTAATGGAATTCTACAAACCTGCGAATAATAGGCTGATGGAACAAAATAAGGTTGTAGCATTTACTCAAAGGGTTCAAAATATATCCATCATGACAGTGTCGTAAAAAGGCAAACAATCAAAACAAACAATCATGTCTGATCTTTTTTAAAATCAAACATATAAAACACCCAAATATTACTTGGGTTTGATGAACTAACTCCTTTGTTGTCAACAGTTTTTCCTTACCCTTGTTGTTGACAAGGACAGAAGATGTCTCTCCTTGTTAAGTACAATGAAACAAACTGTGATTTGTGGAAATATGGGCTATACAAATAAAATTAACATGAAACACTGACTGAAGGTTAAAAGCTGGGCTCCAGGCTTTTGTTAAAGCAGACACTGTTGCACCTTATTTACATTTACCTGTGTCCTGATAGCATTATGTGGTGGCTGAGTGAGTTATGCCACGAACTATGTGGAAGATGGCTTAAGAATTGGTCAATAGAGGCTGTGTGTGGAACAACTTATTATTGGCAGCAGTGTGGGTTTGCATGTTAAGTTTTGTCCAGATTGTTACAGAGAGCATTTGATGGAGGCTGCCCAAATCAATTCAGTACTTTAAAGTATAATCCTGCTGCCTAACACACAGACACTAGTGAACATATCTGGTAGACAGTTTCTTTGGTGCAGTGACATTGGAAACTTCAGAGATGCACAAACCCTGTGCATGCAACTGCATCATGACACACGTGCCAGAGAAGATCTCATGTTTTCCATGGATACCTGGGAATCATTGATTTTCATTCTAAACTCCAGCAGCCCTTCTCTATCAGCTCAGTGTCTGCTGCACTGTGTGTTCAAGGAGTGTGTTGCAAGCATGTCGTGTCATTAGCTCCAGTGCTCAATACTAACGTGAGCAAACCTGAGTGAGTGATCTACAGCATTAGTTGCCGCTGCATCACATCCAACTGAACATCCACCGATTTGAAGCTTTTTATTACCGGTGTGAACATTTAACACGAGGAGCATGTTTTTACAAGGAGCATGACGTTAGCTAAGCTACATGGAGCAGCTAACTCAGCTTTCATAGCCATGGTAGCATGAATAAACCCCTTAAACAAGCGGCGATGCCAGTAATCGATATCAGGTGAATGTTAGGATTACTGATATCGACTTGTTTCATCGCTGCCTCTGATTTCTCACAACAATAACGCTGAGATAGAGAGCTAGCTACCTTCAACAACACTTCCGGGTTTCTGGACGTTAGCTTATCCTCTTCTTCAGAGGCGACATTAAGTTTCCTGGACCCTCCGGCTTCATCTTTCATGTTTTCCAAACCTCGTCATGTTTTGTCTTCGCCTTGACACACGGTAAAAATCACAGACACACACACACACACTCAGGGAGAGAGGGTGGGGGGGGTGTTAGCCTCGGTTAGCTTGCTAGCAACTGCCCCGGCACCCGCTGCAGTCGCACAAACAGCCAACAACTTCCGCTCCGCTGTGACCTCTGACCCGTGATGCTATTGGTCCAGCGGGCCACACACTGCAGGTCAATTTTCGCTCACGGACGCGCTGGTGAGGTGCGATGAGGAGAAGATGGTGTCGGTGTGAGACAGTTCAAGTCATGGAGGAGATGCTAGTTGGAGCTAAAGGGCGCAGGCTGCGTGTTGTCCTCCATCTTGAGTTCACACGGTGAGTTGACACCATCACGTGTGCGCATCACCACACAAACACAAGTTCATCAATCACATGCTGCTGCTCTACACGTGCGCCTCTTAGTGTGGAACTGACCCACTTATATTTGTATGCATACTTATACCATTTTTATATTCATATCACAGTGTATGCTCGTATACCTGTGCAAGTTATATATTTGATCCTACTGTCTATTTTGCCATTTGATAATATTCTAAGTTGTTTTTGCTCTTTTCTCATCTGTAACATTTTATCTTATTTCTGTATCTGTTCTGTTGCTGTGTGATCTTTGAATTGCTTCTCTATTATTTCGAATTGTTTGCTTTTTAAAAAACGGGTTCCTACTGTTTGCCTTAAATTTGCAACTCATCAAGTACCCTGTAACTGTGTGTGTGTATATTCATATATATATGTGTGTATAAATATAAGTATGTGTGTATATATAACTTCAATTTCAATTTGTCCTTATGCTAATGCACAAATACAATATACATCCTTGCCAATTGCACTTTACTCAAGTATGTTTAAAAATAATAATACATCTGTTGGCAGTTAAAGGTGTGGGTGTGTGTGTATATATATATATATATATATATATATATATATATACACTCTGTATTTTATCTGAATAGATTTTTACTTTTAAAAGTTTTTCAAATTTTTTTTTATTCTCTCTTGAATTTCACCACAGCAGAATCAATAAATTATATTTTGTCTCTTCTTAAGGAGACCTGAGGGCCATTTGTGTGTTCGTGTGCCGTCAGAATAATCAGAAAAAATATTTCGAAACTGATAAAAAAAATGATAATAAATACAATGGCTTTTTTGCTGCTAATACTTCTGTGCTTTTTGTCTATTTTATTTTAATCATTTGTATATTTACACTGTGGTATTACTTCTACGCAAGTAAAGTTTCCAAGTTCTTTTTCCACTACTGCAAATGATTCATGTGAATGCAATCTCAAATTGGGAAAATGTAGGTACATGAGTTCCTGAAGTCATAATTTCTCCAATCAACAATTAATATCATTTTACAATCGTCTCTAAACAGTAGTTTTTTTAACGTGAACTTGTCAAATACTTCACTTTTGTCACTGGCAAACTACATATTCATCTCTCACAAGCCCCTGGCACCAGGCGTTTTAGCTGTTTTTATGACTATTGTGCATTTTTAATTTTCTATATGCCCGTCACATACCGTTTTTACTTAAATTAAAGTTTCAAATTACTTCTACCACTACGGCAATTCTTGGTGTGAGGCCACAGGTAGTGTAAGACATGATAGCCAATAATGAAGAAATGAAACATTGATTGAAAAAACAGCATTGTCGTTATCTTGTTTTGGTATCATTTTAATATTGTAAGTAGCATGTACAGTGCAGGGCATGGAGGGGTATTGCTCATTTAATTGCTTTCTATCATCGACTATTCCTGCATTCCATGTAGAATTTCTTCTTCTTACACTTTCCCTATTTTCTCTCTTCATCCTTCTGGTCTGCTTTCATGTCCATATGAGCTTTCCACCCCTCCATTTCCTTCACTTCTTTCCTCCTTTTATTACATTATTCCTTACCCTACTTTCTCTGTACTGCCTATGTCACTCAGCCATCTCATATTCCTGCTTCTCCCTCTTTGGTTTCCCCGGTATATAAGGCATGAAACTCTTTTCGCCCCCTCCTCCTTCTCCGAGCTTTCCTTTCTCCCCACCATCCAATCTTAAATTCCTCCCTCTGCCTGCCTTCTTCCTCTTTCTCCCTCTCTCTCTTTCTCCCTGTCCTCTGTCCCCAGCCAGAGGTTAATACACTCCAGGATGGCATTATTTCCTCCCTGGCCCTCCGACAATATAAAAATTCAGAATGGACAGCTCAATCCCTCTTCCATCTCAGATTTGATTGTAATGGTATTGCCTCCTGTCCCTGGGAGGCCCCTGCTGCCTCACCAACCCGGCTTTTATGACACTAAATGGCCAGGCTACAATTTTTCCATCTATTCAAAAAATTCTGTTAATAACTCATTGGGAATGAGACGTATGCGCTCCCTGGGCCGTCTGTGGCCAGGTCCCTCACCCCTCTGCTCACAGGGGTCACCACATACAGAAAAAAGATTCAGGGCTGAATCGCAAATGTAAAAGGTTAATTAATCTCTGTGAATTTACAGTCCCCTCTCCCCATTCCCCATGCACTCCAATTGACAGTCCCAAAGAGACAAAAAATGTCATATTTACAACCCTGAATGGAGAAAGTGCTCAGCAATGCACAGGAGTCGAGCGCAGGTGCAGGCCTGTCCAGCCGCTCTCTCTTCTCCCCCTTCCAACTTTACAAGTGTAGCCATTCATCACGTGTGATGGATTTATGTAATAAAACCCATTTCCTTTCCCCATACGATCCTATTAAATAATAAAATAATTATTTATTGATTATTCAAAAAGGTACATATGCGCGGGTAATGGCTTTGTACCACACCACTGGACCCGCAATAAATAAAGCCGGGCGGAGGGAGAGGGGCTGAGAGAGAGAGAGGAATAAAAAAGAGAGGGAGAGGGAGGAATGAAGGGGGAACAAAATGACTTTAGAACAAGAGAAATCTGGATCCAATATGGCCTCTTGCAGCACGCATCAGGAAGGACATTATTCAATCTTCAGGAGGCTCATATGGGAGCATGACCTATGATATACATAGTATATGAAACCTCGAAATTACAATCGACTTCAGCGTCCTGCAGAGTTTGTGTCTCAGATTTTAAAATCTCTTTTGAAATTACTGTAATTATTTATAAACTTAATGCATATCATAAATCTTTTCATGAATATACAAGTAAAACATATAAAAACAATATGATTTTTCTTTAAAAAGGGTGATGATAAATGTATAAATGTCAATAAGGTGCTGTCAGGTGTGATGAAAGGGATTATTTACCCTCTTCATTAAGGATATAAATGAATGAAAGTATTCTTGATTAAAATATCTAAAAAGGACAAGACCTTTGTTATAGATTTGTTCTCTTCTTTATTGTCCAAAATGTTTCCAACAATGTTTAAACCCAGACAAATCCCCAATTTTATGTAAGGTGATGGGACATTTCATTTGGGTCACCTTTTAATTGTGTCACATCTGCTCTACCTGTGGCTTTACCTGTCTCTCTATATCTTCAGGGGCAAACGATGTATGATGAAGGAAAAACACACTCCTAGCCAGTCTTCTGTTTTTTCCTTCCACTTTTTCCTCGTAATTGATTACGATTATTTATTGCTTTGAAGTGAATTAAACTTTAACAAGTTACATCGTCTGTGAACATCATTTCGCTGAGTCGCCTCAGGTAGATTTTTATTGGCGATGGTGGTGAAGACAACAACTCCCATGATCCCATGCGACTTCATGACATCATTAAACTAGATCTTTTGCGATTGTTTTGATTGAGAGGTCCCGAGTGGCTGAAGTTACATATTGTATGTTTAAAACAAATTTTTATTTCAAATTTTGCTGGCAGAGTAATAAATAACCACAGTCTTATTTTAATCATTAAAAGACCAAACTAAATGTACAACTCTGAGTTTCATTGTTGAGTTGGCATTTCAGTTTTTTTACTCTGTCTTTTTTCCTAAAAAGAAAATACAGATCCACACGTACGATCACAAACACCGTCATAAATAATGTGAAGAACGATGATCCTTTGATAATATTTGTCCACCATCAGTATGAAAATAAGGCGCCTATCCCCAGCTGTGGATAATCTCAAAAAGAGACACTTTAATGTCAGCCAGTTATTACACTGAGTACTCCTTAATAACCCATTTGTGTTTGGTCTTACACACGGCTAAAGTGAACTCCGCTCTGCGTTGTCTTTTCCCTGGGATAGTCTCAAGCCTCCTGCAATGGTACGGAAAACAGATGCTATCTCGGCTATATTACTTCTCAAAGCACTCATATCCTCCCCAATGTTATTTTCTTTGATCTGCTAGGCTTGCTCTCTTTTCGTGCTCCCCCCAAACCCCACCTCCACCCGCACCCCCACCTCAATCCTCAATCCTCTCCACTATGACCAGAGAGCAGAGCAGCCCGACTGGTTCACGCTGGCTGTGGACATTAGAAATTCCCTTCATCTGTTTTCTGTCGTCAGAGGGCAAGAGGTGCACGGCGGGTCGAACACATTAGGTTCTCCATTTACAACGCTGTCTCCTAGACGTTATGCATCTGAACAACTAAACTGCAACAGGAAACGTGACTGAGACCAGGTTATGTTTTCTCTAAATGTAATGAAGTTATATTTGTATATACTGTCACAGGTGACATATTTGTTTACCACTAGAGATGGTTCCCTACCATTTTCCCTTCCTGATTCAAATTATGATACCGGCACTTTGCATATCGGCCGATACAGAGCATTGACTTGTAGAACATTTTAATAGTTGTATGCCCCTAACCTGGTATGGAAGTAATGATTGTTATCATGGTTGTATGGCCTATAGTGTTCTAAAAGGCACCCATCACAAAGTCTTGCATATGGTACATATCGCCAGGACTTTCTAGAATGAAAAATTACTGACATTGTAGCAAGCTCTGGCTAAGACAACACTACAGGAAATCAATTCTTCTTTGCTGCTCTAAAAACTGTACTTGCCAGTGGCAGTACAGTGCAACTGCTGTTTCGGAGCAGCAAAGAAGAGGAATTGATTTCCGGAAAAAAAGAAAATGGCAGTTTTATTTGGTTTAAATGTATGTACTTTAAAGATGTGGTATTGGATCGACACGTAGATTTGCGTACTCGTCGATGCAGGTTCTTGAAGACTGAGAGGGATGCCCCTGCTTTTGGAGCATTTGGTAGCTTGTAGGGAAGCACAAACGAGAACAGTCTGGACTGGGGAGGAGCATCGTGGCCGAGGATGAGTGTAAGCTCCTAAAATTCATTAAAGTCATAAAGTTCAAGTCAATTGGTGAAATCATCTATTGCAGAACAATATTAAATTGTAGTGATGGCAACATTATTACATTTTTATGCT